AGGAGGCAGAGAGGTCGCCTGAACATCCTTAACACTTTGAATGTAAAACTATAACAAGATATGATTTGGACATATGGACTATTTCTAGATTTTTATAACTTTGGAAGGTTTCCTGAATGGTTGAAGTTATTGGCAAGTCTCCCATTGATTTCAGGACTTCCTGTCAAAGTCCACTGATTTTATGATTCAATTAGGAAATCTCTTTTTTGGACTACAAACAAAAAAAAAGTGATGTTTGCCATGGAAAAATCAGAATCAGACTTCAAACAGTCTGCACATGAGTTTATCTGAAGAATGATTCACTGTTGATATAGCTGCAGTTGTTGGCAAATATATGTTTAAATCATCAAAAAATTCAGTGAAACCAGAAATGCTTAGAACTTTGAAATTTTGTCTGGATAATGAAAAAGAAGAAATGAACTTACTGTCCCTTATTTGAACTTACCGAACCAGAATGCCATGATGCTATAGGAGCTTGATGGTACTTGACTCCTCTTTTGCTAGCTATTGCTGTTAGCTGGTTTCGATACTAAGTGCAGCAGCAGCACCTAGGTTTGTGTAAGTTATTGGTCTCCTTTGCATTTTGTTATGTACCACCAGTAGTACTAAGTGAAACAGCTAGGAGAGCCCTTTCCTGCAGTGTAAAGTATATTAAAAGAAACATTTAAAATTCCGAGCCTCTCATGCTGAAATTGTAAGGAACTATGAACCATTCAGTAAATATTCATGTTTAGGTTAAACACACCCTTTCCACCGCAAATATACTCTTTCCGTAATATGCTCAGGCCATTCTCAGTGCAGAATTTCATCAGGAGACTCTTGGGAAGACTCAGCAGGATCACAGCGTGGATTTGATTGTAGCTTTCATTTTATGTGCAATTCGGCTATTAGACACATTAAGATCCTTAAATGTCCTCCTTAATCTGCACACTAAAATCCGTCACTAAAATTAGGAGCCTAGCAATGGGGTTCCAAACATTCTTCTTTAAATAACAAATATAATGCTAATTAAGCTGTTGTTTTTTATAAAATACTTTATTAAGAATAATAAGAGTAAACAAGGTTACAAAAATACCAACTTTATTAACTAATGAAGATGCCGTTAATTACAGAAATTTGTAATACAAGTTATAACCACAGTGTTCCCTTTTCATTAGGCATTCAGCTACTTGTATTTAATGGGAGCATTATTTTTCCCACTTAAATATGAAAAAATACTCTTATCATACACTGAATTCCACAGACAGCTCCCTGAAGTTAGATCCCATGCAGGGAAACACCATACAGAAATGCCCAAGAGTATGTTTAAAAAGGAACACTGCAAAATTTTAGGGTGAAAAGTCATGTTAGTTCCTGCCAGCAGCCCCAACATTCATAAAACAATAATATACCAGTGCACATGAGGGAGGAAGAAAATAATTGATAAGGAAACAAGGCTAAACAACGAATCCAATAGGTTTCATACCGGTTCCATGGGGGTCTGCTAGTCTACAACCAGCCTTCTGGAAGGATGGCAATAAAGCCTCACCTCCTGTTGCAGTTGCCGTGGAGTTGAGAATCTGTGCTCTTCAGTGTACAAGGTTGCACGTAGTTCAGTGCACAGCCATAGGGAAAAGCACTGAGCAACTTTCAGCCCCTGCTCTTTTGACAATCACATTCACTGATTTCACGGGACATTTTGCCTGAGTAGACTTTGACCCTCAGAGATATATTTGGACCCTCTTCTGAAAAGCTCTAACTCAAGTGAGTAGCTCTGTCAAGTACATTGGCATTACCTGCAGCAAGGGTTTGCAGAATGCCTCGGAGAATTTTAATCTTAAACTAGAGAAGATTTCAGCAGTAGCAGCAAAAATCTAGAGCAGTACATTCCCAATGAGAGCTACAGTTTCTCTGAGGGTCATGAGGTTTATGAGAGACAAAGAGATAGGGAAAAAAGCTCTTTTAAGGGAAAAAGTATTTTCATTACTGAAATGAAGAAGCATCAGCCAGTTCCAATGCCCAAAGAAAATCAGTAATTAAGTAAAACTAACTTCAGTAGCACAAAATCAGCTCTTAGGTTTTAATTCCAAAACTTTATGTCCAGTTATTACACTTTTCAGAGACCAAGGATTAGTCACAGTGAGGACAATGAAGATGAAATTCAATGGAGTTTAAGAATATCCTTAGATAAGGATTTAAGTTCTGTACCCTTTAATTCTAATATGAATAAAATCACATCTACGAAGTAAAGTCCAGATCTCACTGAAGTTAGTAGGAGGCTTTCCAACAATTTAGATGGGCACTAGATCAGGTTCCTGTGTTATTCCACAGAGAAAAATATTAGAACAGTGAAAAAATATCTATAGAGTGTCCTTTCTTAAGAGAATCCTGTAGTTATAACAGTTGCCTGGTACGGTACCATTGGTACCAACAAGAAATATTCACAGGAATAAATGAAGTACAAATTCATTACCACATATCATTAATCTTCTCTTCCCTTGCTCTTCAGAATCTCATGTGCCCTCCCTACTGAGATAGGGAGAGCAAGAGCACCTGATAAGCAAGTGCATACAAACATGTTAAGTTCTGGAGCATCAACTCTGCACAATCTATTTTAGTGAGACGCTGCCCAGAACAAACAGGTAAAAATCCTTACACGTTGTCTAACAAAAAACAGTATTTTTATCATATATATATATATGTGTATATATATATATAAAAATCACAGTCCTCTGCACAGCAGAAGCTTGTAACTAAAATATTTTAGGATTCGATTTTTTAGATAGACATAACAAAATGCCTGCAAATATAATACAGTGAGCACATAACAATTCTTAGAATACAAAGAGTGAACATGGAATTATATATTTTATCCATGTTCTACTTGTGACTGAAAACAAAACTCACTCAGAGTTTTTTTAAACTGTCTCTTAAAAAGTTAATCCTTTCAATAAGATATGGTCAGTATATACTTAGTAAGAATACACTCTTCACATACATGGCAATAATTAACTGTAAATACAACAGGCTAAATCCTGCCCTCTTTAGGCCTGGTAAGTAAGAGAGCCCAAGAGGAGCATTAGCCTTCAGAGGCAGCCAGAACAGATTGAGACAGACTGTCTGCGTAGCATCCCCAACCTCAGGTCCGCTGTACAGAGAAATCGCATCTTGTCCAAAGAGATTATTTACACCAGGGGAATTTCAGAAGCTCTGCTTGCTGAAAGACTTCTTTCTATGTGCCAGTAGAATCAGCGGGATGCTTGACACAAATCTCAGCAAGCCAAGCCGCTTAAGCATGGGCTGAAACTCATCCCAGTTCACCAGGAGATGTAAGCATATTTGAGTTCCACTGAAGTCAAAGTGCACTGCTGAAGAAAATAATTTGGTGAGTCAACATGCGGGCTGCCTCCCAGGACAGCTCCCCTGAAGTGGTTACTTTCTGCCAGGGCAGAATTCAACCCTGCGTCTTCTGTATTAAATGTCCGTTTATATATCTACACCATGATGTCAGCTTAGCGGCTATGCAGTTAGATATGATACACATACCATAAAAATTGCTACTGAAACATATACAATTACACAGTCACAAGTGAAGTAACAGTGCAGTTACTTATGCAATTACAGGTACAGTAGTAAAACTAACAATTAGATATATGTTGCATCAATTTTCCGGAAATTACAGGGCAATTGGTGCCACCTATAACAACATATTTGTATAATACTTCCAGCCATATGCCATACAACTAAATGTCTAAAGAAGAACAAGCGCTTTGCATCGATGGCGAGTATCTGTTTCCTTTCCCCGTCAACAAAAAGGAAAATGATGGTTCTACATACAGGCAGGAAACAAGATACTAAACTGTTGGTGATGTTTTCTGTATTACATACAAGATCATACCAATCTCTGCAATAATTTTATTACCCTGAAAGGAATTATACAAAGGATATAGTTTTGTCCAAATCTAGGTAAGTTTTTATTAAAAAAGTTAAGTCTCTGAAAAGACTGTTAATGTATAACTTACTTTTCCCAGTATTAAGTCTCTCAGCCAGGTGCCAGATTCAACTGGTTTTTTTCCTGCTGTAAACACAGAGTTACTTTCATGAAATAACTAGAATCGACTGAATTTTTAACACTTGTCTGTTGAGAAAGAGTTGGTCATTTGTTCGAAATTTCTTTTAATGGCCAAAGTCTGCCAGTAGCTAATCAGGATTAATTTTTCAAACTATATGAAATACTCTCTTTAACATTGTAAATTCACAGTTATTTCTGGGACTAACTTCAAACAAACGAACAATAGTTTGCTAACCAGTCAACTTCTGTGTCTCTTCTCTCATTCAAAAGGGTTTTTTGAGATATCTGTTAGGGGACCACAAGCACACTGAAGGGACCAAGTGCAGAACTAGAGTCTATAAGCATTGTGTAAAAGGAAGTGATATTGACTTCTGTGAGAACTCCGCTTATGGCAGGCTTGCCAAAGTCCATCAATAATGAAAAGATTAATTTCTAAAGAGATTATTTTTAATGAAACATTTCAATCTTTGACCTCTTATAAGCAGGGAAGAGAAATATGATCATATATGCTGTCCTTAATATATGCATATATCTCTCAGTAGGTCTTTTGTCATATATGAAGAGAAATATATGGCTCATAGAAAGAATAAGTTGTGTTAAATAGAACTATAATTTGTTTCTCCTTCTAAGATAATCTGAAGAGCAGCATAACAGAGGTCATACAATCTATTTCTACAAAACCATTTATCATCCAGTAATGATATCTTTGCAAAATTGTTTACCCATTCAAGTATCTTCAGGAGATATGTCACCATACTTGCATATACTGTAAGTCACTCCAACATTTATAAAACAACACTGATAGACAAAAACACTAAAACCCACCCATAAATATTAAAAGAAGCTCAATAAACTTGACTATCAAGTACTTAAAAATTGTTGATCTTTACATTACACGTTAATTCCATGTTGTCCAAAATTTTTCTTTGAATGGAAGTTGTTGAGTTTTTCAGGGTTTTCTGTAGGTCATCATAATCTTGTGTATCCACCGGGAGTAATATGAGACCCGAACAAAAATCCCAGGACGATTTCTAATGGCACATCCGCGGCCAGGAACAATGACACCAACTACTATCTTCAGCCTGTTTTGTTCACAAACCAAGGGACCACCATAATCTCGCTAGGAAAAAATAAACAAAAAGAATGTCACTTGTCAAAATGCTTCAAGACAATTCCCACCTGTCTGCTACTCACTTGTTTCTTTTGGGGCTGACCTAGCTCAATGAACAGGCAATAGAGTTATTCTTGCCATAGGGCAAAAATCAGCTTCCAATACGTTTTTTACCACCAGAACTTATGCGAACCAATGTCAAGGTTAGCCTCTGACCTTTGGTTCCTTCTTGTGCAAATTAAACCCTATGATCCATCTTTACATGTGATTCTAGTGACTTCAGACTACCAGATCTTACTCTCCTGTAAGTATAGTATTTGTTTATGTGCATACAACCCAGATGAGCAGAAAATGAGTTGAGTGATAAACAACCTCGTTGTGATAACAGGACTTATGTCAAAGACTACTGACAGAGCCAGGTCAATATCCATCTGTCAGTCAATCGTGTAGCAAGGCTCCAGGATGACAATCTGTGTGTACTGATAGGCAGAGGACGGGGTGGGGCATGGAGGGGGAAAACCCAAACCTAATAAAGGTAATATTTTGCGGACATAATTTTCAGACATAACCTGTTAAAATATTCTTTTTCATTATTCTGAGTGAATGAGACATCTATGCACCAGTACATGCATTCAGTGAAAATCTGGAGTATGATCAACTCAGATTGGGGTCTTATTTAGTGCTAAGATATATCCAGTTTACATTAGATTGAAACAGTAATTTAGATAGATACATTCACTTAGATCTGGGACTTGAACATAGATAACTGCAGTTTTTACTCAGGCAAAATGCATACTGAACCTAGCAAATGAGCTTCAAAACCAGACAGTAAATGTTTGTATCGGATAGTGAGACATTATCCCAAAAACTAAAAGCTTACAACTAGCATTGTGTTCTCTCCGGATCACCAGAGAAACAATGTTTGACCTTTATTTGGTTTGGGTTTTTTTTTCTGACTGACGCCAGATTAGTTCCCACATGAACAATGAACTATGTCAGTACCATCAGAGCGGCTCATCAAACACTTTCAGGAGTGGAGTTTCACCTGCCAATCTGATTTTGTTTCTCTGCCTGTTCTCTGCTGAATAAAGTGGCTTCAAAGGGAAACTCGGGGGCAGGAAACCATGCAGTGATTAAGACTGATTGCTAATATTAATTCAGTCCATTTCTTCTTGCAGGGGAAAACAAAGCGCAGGATCCCCAGAAGACTTCCATGCAGCTGTTTCATTTATAAGCCTCGACGTGTCTAAGAGCTCATTTATGATTAAATATTTGATTTTGAAGAAAATACTTTGCAATAACAAAATGATCTTTTGGAATATTAATAAATAGAAGAGGCCTCAGCCTGATGAAGACCATGTTTCCCCATGGTTTGGTAGTACCCCTGGGCAGGGAAAATTTCACTGCTTAGTTAATATCAGTATTAGGAGATCATCTATTCTACTGCAGATGATAAATGCATAATAATATTAATATCTGCCCTCCTTCTAGGTATCATCTCAACAGGTAGATTTTCCACACAAGAAATTATATGTTCCTGTAATAAATGATTTAGAGCAGTTCTTTTTAGATGTCTTTTCTCCGTCATCAAAACTAGTCCCAAGCAAAACAACTGTCTCAAACTATACTTTCACTGAAGTACTTGACCTGTCTTCATTGATACTTTGCTCAGGCTTGATTAGGGAGATCAAATGCTCCAGCCTTCTGACTAATACCGAACCTCAGTACATTTTTTAATCTTTCCCCTTCTTTCATAACTTTGTCAACTCTGTCGAGCAGTGACTTTGTATTTGGCATGCAAGTCATCATTTAAGTAAGAAGTAGAATTTGCTCCACCCTTTGCTCTCTACTCAATCAGAATATATCGCTGGTTTTAGCACACGGCCCACTTTAGCCCTTATTACACAGAACACAAATTTATCTCAGTCTAGAAAAGTGTTTAGTCACATGAGTGTTTTTAACATTTGGTGAAACTGAGGCAAAGGAACATCTTCCTGTATTCTGGCAGAAAATAGATCACTAGAAATACAAATTGTTTTCCAACACAAAAGAGTAAAATATTTTTGTGCATAGAAGTTTAATGCAGAGAGAATAATTACAGAAGAACTCTACTAAATATTTGTGGGAAATAAAAAAACAGGTTGATGGCTCCTAAGAGTGTATTAGGAAATGCAGTACTTACCTCACAAGGCCCAGCACCGATGGTTTCAGCCACAGCACAGATTTCTGACTCATTCACAGTGATCTTCCCTTTGAGATATTGATTGCATTTCTCATTTCCCAAAATAAACAGGTTTGCTACTCGGAGAAGGCCATCATAGTTAATTACTAGGATTGAAAAGAGAATGAGAATTTTATTCTATTTTAGGGGGAAAAAGAATTGAAGATGCGGTCTGGATAAACATACTCGTGTAACCTCAGTTGTTGTACACCCATTTTTGTCCAGCCTCACTTTTATCATGCATTTCTCTCTTGGATTTCTTATGTTTGCTACAAATGAGATTTGCAATAGATGTGTTTGGTGCATATGTCTGTTCAGTTCTCTGAGAATATACAGAGAAGTTTTTTGTATTAGAAGAAAGTGCTAGGTAACTGGGTTTGCTCTACAGTCCACCACCAGCTTGCCCTGTGTCACATCACAGGAATCAGAAAAAGTGAGCCTCAGAATGCTGTCGCTCCCACCAGTGGAGCGAGGATTTTGCTCCCTGCCTTAAAACACAAGTTAATGTGTAACAGTGCCTGCCATGGCCTAGGGAAGGACGCGTGACTTGAAAAATACTGTAGCAGAGCAGAGTTATTCTCCCTCTGTGCTGTCTCAGCTACGCTGAATGACTTTGCCTGCAAGGCCAGAGCCGCAGCTTTGTGCAATCTCCATTCATCAGTGTGAAGGTCAGGAAGCAGGAGCCCTGTGGAGCTTGCTCTTGTTCTACATGTCAAAAGACAAGTCTGTACAAGCTGCAAAGATAAATAAAGGGTCTGGACCTGCCTGTTCCCTGCACAGCCATGAAAAGAAAATGCCAGGCTTGCCCCTCACTGAATTGTTATCCTGCTTTCTAAATACAAAAACATGGATGCAACGCTCCTTCCTTCCCTGACTAGGATGCTGTGAGGATTATGTTAAGTAGTGTGTAAATATAGCACAAAGTCGTTGGATGTTATGTATGTATTACATAACTCCACAACATGGCAAATTCCTTATCAGTTCTCTTAAACTAAGCTTTCCAGTGATGTTGCACTGTGCTCCAGCCCGACTTCCCTGTCCCCCAGACAGCCATTCCCCCTGGAGGATGGCTAATATGGCCATGCTGGGAACATCAAAGGCAGTCATCTGGGAAAGGGCTGGTACAGATTACTTGCCACCCACAAAGAAATGCAGAGTAATGGTTATAAGGGAGAGAGCCTCAGAATTACAGTCTAGTTTCTGCTCTGCTTCCAGGACAGTGTGAGTATGGTGCTGCTGCTTACTCAGGGTCTGTGGCAAAATGACATTCGAGCACAGTAATTATTGGAGTAATTATTGTCAACTGGCAGCTATTAACTTTATCATCAACACATAATTAATCAGATATAGTATTTACCAGACTAAATAAATGTCTGTTCTCCCACATACTTCACACAAAAACTGTGTTTAATAAACTTTAGTAAGGTTGCAAAGCCAAGTACTCAAAAGTTAAGAAATACCAGGCTGCCTGTGCAACCTTAGTTCACTGTCTTTGTGTGTGTTAATTATGTCTTCGATTACATGATTCTGTATTAGTTTTTCAACAGGGCAGCCTGCTTTGGGATACAGAAAGAGACTGCTCAAGTAGATGAATTGGAATTTTTCAAAAAAGAGGTAGAGCTCTGCAAAACAATTCTGCCAGATTTTTTAAACATGAAGAACGATATTTTTCTCTAGTTCGTTCTTTGAGATGTTTAAATCCTTTTGCCTGTCACTGTAACAAGAAAAAAAAAAAAGATGGACTAGTAGAAGATATTTCATATTAAATGACCTTAGGTAAAATGCTCAAATTTTTACATAATTAGTAAATAATTGGAACTGCATATTATAATAAAAAAATGTTGGACAACTGTGGCATCAGGTAATACCAGCAGCCTCACCTATAATGACAAGAGGAAGTAAGCTGTCAACGTATTCATTTAGTTTTTAAAAATAGTTTCTTACATCCAGTGTATCCCCATCCATAAACACTGCAACTGGTCTTCTCTGGTATGGTACATCCAGAAATGGGCAATCGGATTATTTCTACAAAATTTGTCAATATGGCAGGTCTGAAAAGAGAAAACAAATAACAGATATAATGGATTTTACTTAACCTTCTAAAATCTATCTTAAAAATGACATTAAATCTATCATAGAGCACAGCAATTAAAAACTGTGCCAATTCTCTTCCTTTCTTTTTCATCTTTGAAGAATATGATGGATTCTTCTACCTATTTTTCATGTTACAGCTGTTAACTGTCAAAAGATTTCTTGAAATGCTGTCACCATTTTATGCTATTTAACTTGGGTTTTCATCTTAAAAGTAAGTAATGATGGCATTTCATTTGAATATATAGTTTTGTTAATATGGAGAAAGTTTGAAAGCTCATACATATATATATACAAGGATCTCAGTTACAATCTGGTGCTTATTCTATAAATTAAAAGCATATACTAGTCAAGGTGGACTATTTTTTTTAAAGAAAAACAAACCCAACAAAAAAATAAACTTCCAACAGGCCTAAACTTGGTTATCAGGAAAAAGAAGGTAGGCATGATTTTTCACAAGTAACATCTGTTTTCTGAATAAGGTAGATGAACCTGCATTTCTGCATATGCCAAATAAAATTTCTTACAGCTAGAAGTTTACCCCATGGAGACATCATCTGCAGTATCGGAGATAGCAGAGAACTGAATTTGCAAATCTTATTTAGGAAGAATCTCATTCATTATTTGAAAATCCTGGAACTGGCAATAACAGCTACTAACCTGCTAAGTTTCAGTAAGACCAAATCTGACCCTGCGGGGCCATATACCAACTGGGAGATATTCAGAACTTGTCTATGCTTCTCCTCTCCCTTTCCTTTGATATTATGGACTCCAAGCCAGGCTTTGTAGTCTTTCAAATCTTTGTACCTAAATGAGGCAAAGTTGGTTAGGATTTTGCTGGGTGTATAATAAAATAACTGAAAAAACTCTGCTTCATATGGTTATGCTAGAAGATCTTAACTAATGCTCTTCACCAGAAATAGGCTTATGCTGCCAACTGCTATTCCAAAATCAACATGTTCGGATGTAAGTTTTTGGTCTGAAGCCACTACATAATTTTTTATTTAGCAGTTACTAAAATCTATTTTTTTTTCCTAATAGTACCCAAACACTCAGATCCTTGGACAGTGTGAACCTTTGAACTTTTTGAGAGTTACTGAAGTTTTCTATTTTGTTCTGTCCAGTTAAGCAGAAGCATGAGATTATTTTCATAAAGAGGCAATTGTATAACCATTACACTTGGAAAACATGTTTATGCTTCTATGTAAAATAGCCAGAGCTCTTTTAGATTAACAACAATAATAACAGAAAATATCAAGGTCCCACAGGACTTTTACATCAGAAAAGTAGTGCTAAAGCCAAATAGGAAGGAAAAATGCTGCATTACAGTTGAAGAAATGTTGTGCTGATAAGTTCCTGAAAATGTATTTCAATATTGTAAAGCTACAGACTACCGTACCGAGAAGGGAAACACTGCCTTGCCGTTAGAACCCACTCTTCCTTTATCAAAGTACCTCCACAGATATGCTTATTCCTGGGAAAAAAAAAAAAAAAAAAAAAAAAAAGAAGAAAAATAAGGAAAAAATTAAATTAAAAAAGTAATAGTGTTGGTTTTTACATAGTCAAAAGCTTTAAATAGTACTTTTGCTCCCCATGTATGTTTGCTGGTGAAAGGTGGCTGGTGACAGCCTGCAAAACCACATCTCTGTCCCTTTACTCTGCAGTTTCAACACTTATAGTAGCATCACTTTGCAGAGATTTACACCAATGTGTGTAAATCAGGAAGAAAGAGGAATTCAGTTACTCTGTTCCTTTAGCGGTTTCAAAGTTGAATTTATAATAAGAGACCTAATTTAAAAAAAAAAGAAAAGGCAAGCTACTTCTTTGTAATAGGAACTGGACTGAAACATTCAAGCAAGTCCTCAAACTGCCACCAGATGTAAACAACATTTAGTGGTTATTCATGTAGGTATTATTCAAAGCATTGACCTCAAGGTGGAGAGTTCCTATTTAATTACCAGCCCTATGAGATTTCTGTCCCCACATACTTCAGTTGGAAACAATCTGCAATGTATGACATCCTACATGTGATTATAGAAAACCTGCAGCATAATATATCAAGTAAAATTAAAGCAATTAAGCATGACATTTCTTTCAAAAATAAAGACAACTTTGGTATGCAGATTAATTAGTTTCCTTCTTTGTGCCTCTAAAATCACATTTATTTTCTGTAGCTCTTTGGAAAGTGAATCAGAATTGTCAGCAATTTGGGAAAAGCTTAAAATCTCACAATTTATGAATTCAAATCGCACAAATGTTCAAAGCTTTGCGAAGAACTGCTGGAAGGAGCCCAGACTCTATATGGAGTTCAAAGACAGCAGAAAACACAGATGCGTCCTCTTTTTTTTTTTTTTTTTTTTTTTTTTGATTGTATTTTGGTTGAGGAACAAAGTATCTGGTCCAAAAGGCTGGATTATTCTGAAAATATAGATTCCGCCCAGTTCTATTATAAAAATGTCACAATCAGGACTATGAATGTGTTCTTGCATATTATATATGCATCACTAATTATCAAAAGGAATTTACAAGATTGCATCATCTGCTTTAGAAGTGCACATAGGGTGGTTAAACTTATTATCTGAACGTAGCACAAATGCAGAGCTGATTCAATGAAATAGATGAAATTCATCAAAACATACTTAAACATACCTGATTACAGAATTTGGATCAGATATATAAGGAAATAAGTAATTGATTAATTTAACATTCAGACGTGGGCCTTGTTTGCCAAATATGAACACAAGTTCTAAGTATCACTAAGCCTTTACCATTCAGGCATGGCAATGCCATTTTGAGGTATACACTTAATTTTTTACAGAAAATCCTGACGTCATTAAGATTTTGTTTCAGACAACATTCTATTTGCTTTCTTGGTAACTATACAAAACAAAACTACATTTTTATGTCCACATGTAATACTTAAAAATATATTTTGCTGCTGGAGTATTACAGGAATCCCTTTTTCATAAAAAAATCTGCAAGCATTTAAGCACTCATCTGCTTAATGGAATTTTATTGCATAGGACAAAGTCAAGGTTCAACTACATTAACATTAGATATTTAAATTTTAGGCACCCCAGATGTAATTCACCTTACCTGTCTAAAGGTTCCTTAGACATCCAGACTGTTTTAAAAATAGTGGAAAAATAAACTTTTCCAGAGGGTGATTCAGCCCACCTGTCTGGTTATTTAGTCTAGGAATAGAGTCACGTTCCTCTAGAAATGTCTTTCTGGACCATCTGTTAAAGTTCCAGAAAGGTTTAGTTCTGACTGGAGCTCATAAAATGTAAAGATTACCAAGGGTGGGAAGGACCACCAGAATTTCTCTAGCAATGAAGCAATGTAGAAAATGGGCTTTTTATCTTTTCCTTTAGTCCAATTTTTCATTTAAGACCTACTTTACAACATGGTTTTAAAAGAGATGATGAATCGATCTAACAGAAATGAGCTGTACTTTGGTCTGTGCCAGCAGACAAAAAGACTTTTTTTTTAACTTTTATTTTTCATGATAGAAGATAAAGGGCTGATGCATGAGATATATCTCCTGCTATACATTAATGATTCACACTTACAGCTGATGAGTTATGAACCAGAGTAATGAACGTAGGAAAAAGTAATTCTGTGTTCTGGCTTTTACACAGTAGCAAAGCAAGATCTGCCATAATGTGATACACATTTCCAGCTGCACATGTTAGGCTCTTGTTTTACAGAATGGAAAGGATTCCCCTGTCACTCCTACTTATTTTTTTTAATACAGAACATTTCAATCGAATGCAACAATATGAGCAGAAAGCTAAATATGACATGGGTATAAACCCAAAATTTCATAACTAAATGCACTGCTGTTAAAATGAAAATATTGATATGAAACATTTTTTTTTTTGTTAAAATAAACAGTTTAATGCTAGATGCTAAGCCAATGTTATGAAAAGGTCTGCAGTAGCTAATTGAAAGAGCAGAACACTATGAATGCTTTACGAGCTCATGTGTGTAAATTAGTGATAATGAAAATATTTATATTTCAATGATGGAGTGAATACTGTGGAATAACCTGATGTTCCAGGAATGCTGATTTTCTGCTTTTAAAAAATTCAACCACAACCTGGAAATATTCTTATTATGGTCAACATTTTCTACAGTTCCAAAGCAAATATCCTAGTAGACATACTGTTTTTCTCATCAAAGTGATAGTTACCTGTATGTCAAACTAACCACCCATCCTTCGTTAGTTTGTGTTGGGATTCCATTTACAACTCTCAAATGTTTTGTTGAGGCACAAGGAATGACAGTATCTGAAAGCAGGTCCAGAGATCACATTTTACTAAAAACAGCGGTAGGAAACCTGTACAGTTACACATAAGGACCACAAGAAGGTCAATAAATTTATTAAGGATTAACTTTCCTGTGTTAATGAAATATATTTCTAGAGCATCAAAGCTACTTCAGTGAAGCTGGGCCCATCTATATAAACATTCACAGGGAATATAAAAGACATGTTTTTTAATAGTTTTTTTTGAAATTTACATAGTTATAATGGAAACACTGAAAATCATTACCGTATCTCACCACTGGCAAGACAGGACAGTGAGAATAGATAAAGAAGTATAATGAAGCTATTCTACCTTTTCCTCTTGTAAAAGCAATTTTTTTCACAGCCTGTATGGTTTTTCGTATCTTTAACTGATCTTCCTCTTGTTTCCCAATCAGAAAGAAATGGTTAGTCTTAGAGGATACGATACATGCACTGCACAGAACACCAGCAAACTTACTTACCATCCAAGTTGGTTGTAGTAGGAGTTGTATCACCTTCACCTAGACAGACACATAAGATAGCCATAAAACCAGAATTAAAACACATCTAAAAATTGAAGAGAGTAGAAATAAACATCAAATGGCATATTGTGAATTTTAATAGTTCACAAAGTTTTAAACTTCAGTGATTTCTTTAATACTCTGCAAAAGCACACTTTGGTAAGGATTAACAAGAAAGCAGAATTTCATTCAGATAAAATGAAATAGGAATTAAATATTTTGCACCAGATTTCAAGAAATTTTCTTCTTGAAGAAGTCATGTGGTTAAATCCAAATCATATTTAATGAAAATCTTCTAATTTCCTTAAAAACCTTTGAAACTACAGAAGTCCTTTTATGTTGCTATTGGCAAAAACTTATCCTTATCAAAATGTGTTCCCTGAAATCTGCTTTGGTTCTTCCATTTAGTGCAAGTCAAAATCAGTTACAACAATGTTGCTTAAACTTGGTTCAAAATTTTTGCCTTCAGTGAAGTCTGCAGAGTAACCCAGCATGGTGAGCTCGGGGTACACCTGTAGCTACTGGAAATTTGCACAGGCAAAATTTAAAGTGTCTCATCCAACTAGATTTCCATCATTAAACAAATGTGTGTGTGTGTGTATAAAGGTATAGTTATACACATAGTTAAATTTCCATATGTATACATATATGTGTATACACATAAATATACATACAGTGCAGTTTGAAGAGACCAGTTAAAGGCACCAAGGAAGTACACTTGGGAACTGCCCATATTTTACCTGTACTGGTTAAGCTGGTTAACAGTACCTGAGTGAGCTACTAGTGGTTTAATACTGGTCCATATGAGTTACATTTGTAAAACAGATATTCCAGCCCTGGAGTTTGATTCCAGAAATCATAATACTCACCATTGCTGTATGCCCTACAAATGTTTGCTGTGAATATTTCCTTAGGAATTCATAGATCCAGACAATGAACTCAGAGTGAGTGAATAAAATTTATATTTTTTCAGCACTTGTTCTTTATCTACATTGACACAAGCAAACTTCTGCACAGTTTGTTTACTCTTCACATAGATGGCAAAATATCACCTGAGACTTCAAATATCACCTCTTAGGGATGCTGCAGTTCAGACTGCGAGGAAATGTAGCAGACTGCTGCTAGGAATGAGTGTAACATTATCCTTAACCTCTAGAGATCACAGACACAAATTCAGAAGCCTGATTTACCATTTAAATGTTCTCTCAGGATAGACAGCATAGTGATTTAGAAATAAGAATTGAAGGGAAAAATTTTGAACATAAATGTGAATTGCACATTTTTCTGCATAAATCTATCTTTTTCCACTTAACATCAATTTATTACTGAATTCCCTAGGATTTTTAATTCTGTTTATTTAAGCTATTTAGATTTTAACATGCAGCTTTGGAGGAGTGATGTTCCTAATTATTGCCAGGAGTTAAATCATTCCATAAACATCTGAAAGCAGAATCTAATCTATATAGCACATATACATAGTGAGTTATCTTTATAAACAGACACAGATTGCATAAAGAGACTATGAAACTTGTAGCACAGAAGATAACTGTCCCTGGGTTTCTTGAGGCCACAGCCAGCATTCTGACCACTAGACAATTCTTTGTCTCCATCCAGCCCTCATTCAATAGCTAGATCTGTTGGAAAATGTTTGACCGTCTGTAACAGCCCTTTTGTGCTCCTGCTGCATAAATAAGCCTTGAAATCTCCAAGCTGGTCAAGGAAAAGGACCCCTTGTTCATATATTGCACAAGCAACTCCTGTCCGTTCCTTCTCAGTCATGCACACTCAATTCTTGATAGAATTGCACATTTTCTGCTGCCACAAGTGACAACAGAAAGGTATGTATATGCATGTGACACCATGGCTTCACTGGGACTGCACAGTTGACAACGCCTGAGGCATACCAAGTACTCACATCGAGAAATAGGGCAGTAATCCCAGGGAACAAGAGGATCATCTGTGTAACACCAGGGACCATGAAAATCATCATCTGGATTGCGGCAATAGTTTTTCTTCAGCTTACTAACATCTGGTTCTCTGAATATTTGTATATGCCTACAGGGAAAAAAAAATTCAAAGTGCTGAAAAGCTTTATACTATAGCCCAAATTTTCAAAGGTTAAGTGTTGCTTTGCTCCACATTGTAATATTAGCTGATTGAGAAGCCTACAGGTCAGGGTTTAGGGCTGGTTAAAATCAAAGGGAAGATGAGACCCAAATATTTGCTGGATCTGGGTCCAAGTTTCCTCTGGTTGGTATTTTAAGCACTGTGTCCAGTGGATAGCTGGGAGGTTTCTAGATCTCCCACTTGAGCTAAAATCCCTGGACACCCTAAGGAGGGAACTTTACACTAATTAGAAGAGTGTCTGTGTTCCCCTCAGCAAATCTGCAGGCTTCTCTGGGAGCACAGGTACCTTCTCCCTGCAGATTAACAATTAGCACAAGGGAGCACACAATCTGAGAAGAAAGCTGAATCTCGCGCAAAGGAAAGACAGATGCAAGAAAGTTAGCAAGACTGAGCAGTGGGATGAATGGCTCAGACAAACTGCAGTAATGGGTCACCTAAGTTGCAAACGTACATGAGGCACTTTAAAGGTGAATGTTTGGGGCAACAATCTGAAGCTGTTTATTTCTGGCCTGTCAGACAGAGGCATACAGGCTTCCTAAGTTACAGCTGCACTGCCCTTTTAGTCCGTAACCAACCATGCATGCTGTTTCTAGCATAACCATAACCAGAGTAACTGCTGAAGGGAGACAGACAGCTCCCCAAAGAAGTTCCCAGATGGAAAATTTGTTGGCGTAAGAGAAGAAAGGCTGATCTGTGCTCAAGATTATATGAATGCAATTGCATCAAGCATCCAGTTGGTTCAAGCTGTCTCAGTCACAGCTAATTGAAGACTTATCAGAGCTCTCAGAAGTCATGAACTTAAACCTCTGCCTCCCTTACATGGATAGGACACTGGAATATGTATGCTGTCTCTGACCCTGTCTAGGGAAAACCACCAGTTGGTGATTCCAGAGAGCGCCACTGAAGCCTGCCTTTTGCAATACAGCTTCCCCAAAGGCTGACTTACTGACTCACATGCCTTCACCTGCCTGACCATCAAGTCAGCTGCAGGAATCAGGGACAGCCAAATTCCAGAGGGCAACGGCTGATACGTTGGGCACAATGACTGTGGTGGTCATGAGCACTAACTCAAGAACAAATGCCGAAAGTAATACAGACATAATCACATTGACTTCAGAAACTAAAGGAAAGCTGTGTCCACCTGCGCCACTAGTGTGTGTAATATCTAATACACAGCAAATTTTTTTATGAGTCTCTGTCTTTGTGCAGAAGACCTGGAAGTCATTGTTCTTGACACTCCTGAGATTTATTAATCTACTGTTCTGAACCAGAAGAGACAACACTAAGGATCCTGGCATGATTGAATAAGTCTTGGAAACTCACAACTTCTTTTGTATTTAATTCTGATTCATTTTTACTCTAAAAAATTCTCTTGGTTTCAGCTGGGATAGAGTTAATTTTCTTTCTAGTAGCTGGCATAGTGCTGTTTTGGATTTAGCATGAGAATAATGTTGATAACTCATTGATGTTTTAGTTGTTGCTAAGCAGTGTTTACACTAATTCAAGGACTTTTCAGCTTCCCATACTCTGCCAGTAAAGAGGTGCACAAGAAGTTGGGAGGGAGCACAGCCAGGACAGCTGACCCAAACTGCCCAAAGGGCTATTCTAGACCATAGGACATCATGCTAAGTATATAAGCTGGAGGAAGTTGGTGGGTGGGCAGTGATTACTGCTCAAAGACTGGCTGGGTACCGATGGGCGGGTGGCGAGTGGTTGCATAACTTGCTTTTCCTGAGTTTTGTTCCTTGGTCTCTCTTTCATTGTTTTCCTTTTCATTATAATGTATTATTATTATTACCACTACTATTATTTTATTTTATTTTGGGTTGGTTTATTTTATTTTATTTCAATTATTAAACTGTTCTTATCTCAAGCCATAAGTTTTCTCACTTTTACCCTTCTGATTCTCTCTCCCCTTCCACCGCGGGGGAAGTGAGCAAATGGCTGTGTGGTGCTTAGTTGCCAGCTAGGGTTAAACCATGACACAAATAAATTAAAGCAATTACTTGAATATGAAGCCAGAGTAATGATAAAAACCAGAAACTGCAAGTTCCTTTAGTGGCATTTGTTGTCAGTGTCATTAGATCGTAGACTTAAGATTCATTTCAGGCTGCAAAGGACCTTAGGTGGCTTCAAGCCCAACCTCCTGCTTGCAGTATCATGAGCCATGAGATCAGATCAATGAGATAACTATTTCCTGCTTTATTCCTGCTATCCTCTCGTAGAACAACCCATAGGACAAAACAGAACAAAACATAGGACAAAGATGGGGTAAACCAGGACAGTAAACTAAACACTAAGAAACATCCCAAAGCCTGCAATTAGTGGTTAGCCTGAACAAAGACATGTTGCATAATATATTTAAACACCGAGAGAAAAAAAAAAAGAAAGAAAAAGATACTAAAGCTCCGGGGCATGAGGGGCTATTTTAGAATCACTGCAGAAGAAAAGGAGATGCCATCTGGAGGCAGTATTTATTCAGGACTCACTGAACCATGTCTTTCTGTTTCATATGTACACACCTACGTAAGTCTTCAATATTCTTGTCCCATGCGGAGCAAGTTAGCCCAAATCTTGTCTTGGATAGATTCCCCATGTAACTCTTGCCATTTCCACGATAACAATCTGAATAAGAATGTTGAGACAAAAAGAAGTGGAGGGTGATTGTGCAACACTGAAAAGGAAACTCTTCCTTTCCATCAGTAATCCAAGTAATTAAAGACAAGTGTTATATTTAGCAAACACTATAAGTTATAAATCAAACAACTGTATAAATCAAATCAGAAAGAAAATGTGAGAAATTTTCCAAATTTAGATAATCTCCTGCTTGAGGCCTTCATTCTCAACACAGTAGCATTTTAAATTTTGTCTTAGATAAACTGGGAAAATTTCTTTCATAAATAGTTAGTTTATTGTTAATTTAGAAGGGTCACACAGAATATTCAAAAAGTTGTCAGGAGCTGTTTTATACAAAGCAATGCAAAATGCCCCTTAATCCTCCATCCTCAAAAAAACTAACACTCTTAGCCTGTTTGAAACAACTTACCTTTTTGTAGATTCTGGATATTGGCAACAGTATATAATTTTAGACTTTGGCAAAATCAAAAAACCAACATCACTTAATTTTAATGTAATTCAAACACTTCCCTGTTCACTCCAGCAGAAGTCATGTTTAATTCATAAGCTTTTATCACGAGCCTTTTTGAGACTTTTTAAGAGGATTGTTTAAAATTATCACTACTATAAAGACTTATTGTATAAAGCATTTCATTTTATATTCATCATTATTTTTACTTTTTGATAATTGATACATTATAAAAAACACAGAATAAAAGCCAAAGTTTAATCCTTTCCCTATCAGAACTCTTGCAACTGCAACTCTTTCAAATTTTACAAGAAAAAATGGCTAATATTTAAAAATGAAGATCTTAATGCAGGCTGATGTAGGGTTGTAGGTCTGAGGTCTTAGCTTCAGTTTATGCTATGATTGACATCAGTTCTCAGGATGCAATAATACTCCTTAGAGTAAAACCAAGACCTTATGGGAAAAACATTTGCCTGAAGACAGCGTAGACTTTACAGGCAGAGGTAACATCCTGAAGTTAAGAGGCTAGTTGGGAAATCCCATGTGGTTTTTTTCAGCTCAATTCCTTTTAGACAAAGGGGTATGAAAAAAAAAATAAAAAAATTGCTTTTGGTCTCCTTATGTGCAATTATATAAAGGCTGTGAACCAAGGAAATCATCTTAGGTTTAAAAACAGGCCTTTCAAACTAAGAAAGGTAAGACAGTGGAGCAGATCTCCAACTAATATAGAACAGCACGCAGATTCACCTTATCTGAAACTCAGATCCAATAGCAAATCTTTGCTGCAGCTTTCCCTGTTGGAATTGAAACATGAACTGAGAAATGAATCTCATTTACAGCATGATGAATCCCAAGTATGCAAATAAAGCCAAAGTGGAACTATGCAGGTGTAATACAGATGTACTGAGACCAACTCCTCCAGTTTTCAAGCCTGCCTATCTGCTGTTTGGAACAGTACAGCATTCACTTAAAATCAAGTTATCGCCCTTCCCTCTGTTACCTTTTTCATTTGATACATCGCACTTAGGAATCTGGGAGCAATAACCAACACGGATGTTTGGGTCAGTGGTAAAACACCAGGGTGATTCAGATCCATCTGGATTTCGGCAGTAGTTCTCCCTCAAATCCCTATAAAAATAAATATGTTAGTTCACAGCAGGGATAAACTAAAAACACTGATGCATTCTATTGCTTTTTATTATGAATTAGCAATAATATAGGCTCCTTGAGTTCTGTATGTTACTGATCAGTGTCAAGTGCAAGGAGGTGAGAAGCCAATAGGAACACAATGTCTAGAAAAAATATAGTAATTGTAATAAGAATGTGGTTATGGGAATTCATTTTCAGTGGATCTATGTTTTGACTGGATATAAGATTTCATTTGAAGATTAACAATATTTTCAGTATAGCTTATTTTTCTTCAGGATTCTCCATCAAAATTTGCATGCAAGCTGACATTGGATACACCTGCAATCCATTACAAGTGCTTTTAAATACAAACATTACCAAAGTGCTTAAAATTCCCTGTACTTTGAATGGTTCTGCTGAGTTTAGAGAAAGAGTCCTGTAGACTGTCAGTGACTCATTTAAGAAATTCTATCTTGGAATATAAAAAAATGTATGTGGAAATTGTATACAGCTGTTACCTTAAAGTAAAAGTTAGTCACAAGGGAACATCTTTAAATGTCTCTCACAGCTTGCATGAAATAGTCAAACTTCTTAAATGTAAGTTTTATTTTCCCATCTCCTGGCAGTTGTCGCGATGTTCTGTGCATCTCCATATTTCATTGTATTTTTCCATCTGCAGCACTTACTGATAACAGACTATGGAAAGAATGGGCTTAATACTGTAATTCTTTGGAAACATTCAAGGCCAGGTTGGATGGGGCTCTGAGCAACCTGATCTAGTTGGCGGTGTCCCTGCTGACTGCAGGGGGGTTGGACTCGGTGACCTCTAGTGGTCCCCTCCAACCCAAAACATTCTATGATTCTATGATTCTATGATTCTATGGAAAGAATGGGCTTAATACTGTAATTCTTAGTCATGTGGGTTTTGAACAGTCATACCAGTTCAGGTTCTGTTGATTTTACTCAAGCTATTGGCCTGAATCGCCACTATGCTCCCAAGCATCAGCTGAATAAGCAGTCCCAATATTGTTAGCCCCTCTACACTGCTAGGAACATTGTTAAAACTGCATGAAGGCCTAATCCTGTAGCAGCATTACATAGGTACAGTAAAAATTAGTTTAAGTGGTGGTTTGTCTGAGAAAAACATGTGGGATGAGCCTTAAACACTAACTTCCAGGTAAATTCAAGATTGACAGAGGCGGCTCAGGCTCAGTCCCATTTTCCATTACTGTGATGGCTGTTACATTCTCGGTAGATGTGTTACAACTCACAGTCTTTGATCAATAAACTGAACAATAGTAGTGAAGGGATTAAGACAACAAACCTAACTGTTTTGCTCAAGAGAGCAAAGAGAGATTATTCCAAACTCAGACTGAAATTTTTCTTCACCTTGAAAGATCCATACTATTGAATTCCAGCACAAGCTCAGACTGATATTTAGCCATCAATACAGACATTTAGTACAAACCAGGCTTTCGGTCCATGCTGGTCAGCTAGGTTTCCTCTATGCTCAGTGAAAAAAAGGACTGAAAGAACATGATTAAGGCCAACTGCCTAAAATACTCACATCCTGGGAGCTTATAAACTGTATAGAAAGGTTAGATGACCAGTGGTCCTTCAGGTAAAAGCAGTCCTATTCATGCAAGTACATTTAGTAATGAGACAGAAAAAGGATTAAAAAGATGGAAAGTAAAAGAAGTGTTGTCAAATATTATAAATGTGTAGTATTGTCAAGGAGATTACGCTTCTGTAACATTTAGGACTTATTAAGTTAAAGTCAGTAACCAAACTGCAAACTAGTACTTACCTCCATGAAAGAAAAACAATAGTAATGTACCAGCACTATTGGGATTCAGGTCCCAGTCTGGAAAACATCCATACACTTCACAATCAATTAACTTGGTGAATACATACTTGAAGAAAAAGTTCATAAAACACCCTACAGTTTCACACAAGTTTATCTAGAACTAATATTTTGAGATCTGAAGAACTGATTTTCCCAAGTTCAAATGCTTTTCAGCATCAGTAAGTATAGTGAGTGCATCAGGTCACAAAGCAGGGACAGCGACCCTAGGGTCTGCTTTGGTGGCATAAATTTCTCAACATTTGAAAACTAAGCTCATTTCCCACTGCAGTAATACCCACATGCCTCTACTCACTTGCACTTGAAGTTCTCAGGAGTGATGTTGTGCTGATGAGGAAACTGGGAGTCCCACCGCTGACACTGGATTCCACTCCATATGGTGTTGACTGTGCCACGGTAACCCTCACCCTGTCCCTGAATGCATGTTGATGTCTCAGCTGCTGCCTCCGTGCTGTTCATGATGCTTTCATCTGCAGACCCAGAGAAGAAGTGCTGTTTCATTTTCTTAAGATGCAGCCTGGCTCAGGTTTGAACTCTGCATCGCTGTTCAAATTGTGGTAATTGGAGTTCTTCGGTGAATTTGCAAATCTGGTGTCTTTTACAGAATAATTTTCTCCTCTTCACATTCACAAATCCATGAAATCAAATAGACCTCATGCTAGTTTACTGACTTGCAGGCAAAGAACCTTCAACATTTAAGGGCTTTTGTTTAGTGAGGTACCTGGTCTATGCTATATCATTGAAGGTCAGGAGATATTCTTGGTTACTCTTTCTAGTTCAGCAAATATTTTCTCTTTTACTTAGCTTTACAAAACTGAGTGACCACCCATGTGCACACTGTTAAACATGTTAATTCATCTTTGCAGGATTAAAAACCAATTGGTTTTCTCCAAAGAATTCCCAGAGTATTAAGTCACGGGAGAAAAGATGCTGATTAAAAAAAAAAAGATAAATCCTATTATAAAGTAATGTTCTAAATCCTCCTTGAAGTTTCTCTTTTTATGCCTCATATAGTTAGAAGGAAAAAAAAAAAAGCTTTTGGAAATCAAAGATCAGTATTCTCTACAGAGAGACAAATGTTTTAAAGACTAACAAATTCATCAGACGCAAGATCTTTTACAGATGTTGATATACTCTGCATTCACCCTGGTGTGGGCTGTCTTGAACCAAATTCAGAAAAACAGTGGTTTTTTAAATGACTCATCCACATAACTTGAAAGTCTCTTTTTATTTCTTATGCAATTTTCATAATTGCAAATTAATGGCACAGATATTGCATCAGATATATACAAAGTAGCACAAAACTGAATACACTACAGTAAAAGCCACACTTCTGCAATGTCCTAAGAAGCTCCCAACATAACATTTTTATAAGTAACTGCCCATTTTTTGGTAATTGCTATTGTTCACAACACTGATTTTATTAATTACCTTAAAAGTATTAGTTTCCAGCAATAAGTATGTTAATAAAATTTTAAAATTAGTTTTCTTCAAAAGGTCCATTCATTAGAACAATATCTGTGTGTTATTCATAATACAGTTCATTCCCGGTAACTTGAGCCAGTTCTATGAACTTGAAGAGAATATGGATCTTAAGGAAACCAAATGTCATAACAGATGGGTTTGGCTGATTTGCTGTCTAATCTTCTACGTTAAAGATCACTTTCCTGTCAGATGATAACATCAAGTTGTGCAGTTGAGTTATACATTTCTCCATGCTAGAGAAAATTTCCCTTTTCTCTTCATCTGGTTGATGTTTTTACATCAGTGTTTCATGGTCAAATTAATTTCCTGTCCTTCCTTTCCAAGGCATTTTGCCTGCAAAGGTTGTCCTGTTTCAATGGGATTGTGCGTTCCAAGCTTGTTCCAAAGTCAAAAGGACATGGCACTGCAAGTATCACAAGTAGGCTTCTGCAGGCTGACAAATGCACCCTTTCTAGTGGATTCATCAAACAGGCTTGCAGCTAGTAATTATATTTTTAATCATTATTACTTACTTTTAAAATAGTTGAACTACAAAAAAGAGAAATTCATACATCTAATAGAAATACATAGCTGTGTATTTCAGTTTTCCATCATAACTAATATATGAAAACAAATTGGAATTATATTATAAAATAGCTCCTAAACTGGTTAGACTGAACATTGCTGTGACACATTCAAATATGTATTAGTATTTTCAAAAAATATCTGTGATGCTTTTATCAGAAATGAAAGAGATGTAGTGTATAATTTGGAAAAAAAATAAAGTTACCTACCATGATAAATTTCAGCATACATCTGGCATCCTGGCTGCATAATATTTCTCAAGTAAATTAATAAAGTACAACTATATAATTCTAGCAAACTGTCCTCTTAAATAATACTAATAATGCATAAAAATTCAGGCTAATACAGCTATTACAAAGACCTTATTTACAAACAAGAAGTTACTATTTCAGCTGTGATGGACTGTATAGTACATCTACTCTGTACTCAGTCATACTACAGAAAAAGTAATTAGGCTGGCATTTTTTTGCCATTGTGTGAGTGAGTTTTTTTTAAAATCACATGGCTGAAATGTAATAACTAATGCATCAATTGATTTAAGCAAGGCCATAAAGTCATTTTGTAGAGCAATCCCTCTTAAACATCTACAGATACACAGCTCTACACTAAACCTTACACTACGTGTCTGGACAGTGACCTCTATCTGTAGATCAGATTTTACAACAATTTGTCCGTGTCAAAATATCTTATTTGAAAGAACCAGACAAGCTTAACTTTCACATTGTCATGTATATTTGCACAGCCAAGCCACTACTGGAAAGACTTACATTATAAAGGTTAAGAGAGAAATTATTTCTAAATCTGAAATGTGTGATGGATTATTGGCTACTACTACTTTGTGACAGCTCTCAGTAAGAATTCTAGTGATGAAGAGGATCACTAAAATATTTTTAATTGAATCCATAAAGCAATTTTATCATTCCAAAAGGTCCACAGAACCCTCCCCAAACTCTTCGTGCTATACCACCTGCATTTCCTACAAATGTCTAATTTTCAAACATGAAAAATGAGACGCCAAAATATTTCTGAAACTTGATTCTGAAATTCTGAGGGCTTGTGCCCTCAGAAACAACTTTCCCATTCTGGCTATTGAGTCTCACAGAAAGCTCAAAAAATATCAAAAAAGGCTCAAAATCCTTCATCCAGCCAGTGACTTCCACAAATAGGCATGTTGGGAATGGTCTCCCTGTTCATGTTAACAAAAGGTGGACTGGATGCACACAGCGACATGCAAAAGCTTGAGGAGTAGTGCCTGCCTCCCCAGGCTTTACAGAGATGCTCTGCAGACTGTAAGGCAGTTGCCAAACTTTAAGGATTGCCCAGTTTGTCGAGCCTACAACTTAAATAATATTCTCCATTCAGTACTGGTCTTGAGGCTAATTACTCTTGTCACCCGCATAGCCAATTATCTGAAGTTTAATAACTCCGAGCACAAACACCATATGTGCAGAGCACTGGTGAAAGAGTCCTGAGACCATGCTCACCAATTCTCTTACAAGGTAGAAACAAGATCAAGCTAAATATCAATAAGGCTGAATTCCCATCCTTATCTTAGCAATTCCTCCACAATATAAATTAAGACCTTCAACTCCAAGGGCTTGTTTTAATGAGAGAGACATTATGAATTAAGTTAGAAGATGCATTTAAATTCAATAAGCAATCTTTCACTATGCAGGCAGGTACTTTAATTTTGTATTAGAAGTAGCCTTTTTTTTTGTTCCAGTTCAGCTTTTACAGTTCTGAATGGACATAAAAAGTACTATTAAAGGAATATCACACAAAATATCATCTTCTAAAAGACTACTATTCTGATGATTTATTAATTATATGTCACTTCCTATTCCTGTATGAAACTTTGTTATGAACAGAAGAATTTGGCAACTGTCTAGCAGCATTTTGCTACTTTTGAACTTTTTTATAATTTTTTTGGTATTCTGGACAACTCACATGAACCATGTCATTCAGGCAGCTACTTGAGGATTTCCTGTTAGTAGTATTTCCACCTTCACTTGTTCACTCTGAAGTCCCGAACCAAAGTGCAATAATGCAAGGGTTTCTTTTTTTTTTCCCATAAAACCCTCCCTATTTTGATAATTCAAAATACAAAACTTTATTAATAAGGGCCAGCTCATACATTCATAGATGCTTAAGAGATGAAACATCATCCAGAGCTTCATGGGTAAAGCCACAGATAGTATTCTCCATTCTGGTTCTCACAGTAATGCCAGCATGAGGGAATCAGCAGGGGCCTTGAGTCATTCTACAGCTGAAGTAGCCATTTAGAGCTCTATTTCTGTCTTTAATCTCAATGACCCAGAAGAAAATCCTTCACAAATTTTAGGTCAGCGGTGAAACTCCTACTGATTTAAAAGAAGGTAGGGATTTTGCTGCAGTATTCATGTTCTTTCATGGTAACACTGGCTATGTATTTTTGAAAGAAGACATATTTAGGAAAGAAGCAGAATCCTAAATTACTTCATCAGGAAAATTCCTACTTTTGCTTATATTGTTGCAATGTCTTTCCTAGTGTGTCAGTCAACAAAAGGAAAATGTGCCCTGATTTGTAACTAAAGTTTTTTAAAAGTAGATTTTAAAAGATAAGACATGCCTAACCCAGTAAAAAAAGTTTTCTAAATACATCAGAGTCTGCATTAAACATGATCCATGCAATCTGCAGATGTCAGTAAGAAACCTGACTGACGTTATAGGAAGAAGCTGCTCATGCTCAGTTATACTGCCTCCAGGCATCCCTACCTCAAGCAATACGATCTGCGGTTCTAGGCAGTATGATAGTGGCAGTTCTTTTCTTTCCACCGTCTTACAGTATATGAAACAAGGAAAAAAAAAAAACCACCCACTGATTTCTAGTGTTTGGAGGTTTTTTTAAGTAAAACCGTATGAGAAAGAAATAAATTACACCCAAGTTCAAGAATCACAGTACTGAAGAACTCAATGTCACCTAAAACCTGCACCCCTACAGTTCATTTGTCCTTGAACACAGAGAGATCTTTCCGGGTTGTTCCAGTATCTACAACTAGGCATTAAATCCAAACAATTTTTAGTTTAAATCCATTTTAAAAAACCCCTGGAACTCTGCAGGTTCCAAGCTCTTGAACTGCACTTTCAAAACTATTGCAGAAATGATGAAAAGGATCTGAGAAGGATGCTTTTTGGGGAAATGTAGACTAAGCCATTGCATACACAGTGAATGCTGGACCTCGCCTATGCCTCGCTGTGAAGCGAGGTGGAAGGTATCGCTCTATCAGCTACTAAACATCAGTCTCTTTTCACTGCATCCTTTCTATAAACATCTTTACCTTGCATAAATATTAAGTTTAAATGGAGTGTCACCTTTATTTGTTTACATACTATCATTCAACAAATAATTCTTTAATCGGAACTTCACATTCAAATGGGCAGTTGAAATTTCTGCTTCTAAAGAATGAGTAACCTAATATTGGTGATTCTTTGCCTTCCCAAAAGCTGTTGGCACACTCCAACTGGTCATTTTATACCTAGATTTTCAATTTTGCTGTCTCATTACTTGCACTTTCCCATCAAACCCAGACCCTTATTGAATTCTCTCAGGGCTTTTCGGGCTTCAGTCACCGCTGTCTATTGCCTATGAGTATGGACAGTGAAGGCTAAATCCATGGTAAAATCAGCTGGGTTGGTTGGAAATCAGGTAGACAGCAATCAAACACTGTCCTTACCATAATAATTCCATATGGCTCTGCAGCTCTACAGTGACTGGCAGGTGTAGCTTAATTTCTGTGCCTCAGTACCTCTCATAGCCCTATAGCTCATTCACAGAAGTGCAGCTATTCTTTTTTCTTTTTCTAAAAAGAAGTATTAGCTTCCCACTCCTGTCTTCCCTGTAGTCCATGTCCTCATTCATGCCAAAGTAACTGTAATTTTCTTTTTTCATATCTGCTGTCACTGCTTCCATTTCTTCATTTCATCCTACACTTCTTTATTGCTGTTATAGTTGTCCTTTTATCCTCTCTTCTAACTAAAAATTGTCTCGAGCCAAAACCACAGACACATATGTGAGCAACTTCAAACCAATCCTGGGGTCCCTGAAGTCTTAATCCAGATCCAATTTTTGCAGCTTGAGCCATCTCTAATCCCTAATTGCTCCTGTCATCTCTTTCTCACAGCCTTGGCTGTAAGCCACAATGCTTTATGCTGCCTTCTGTGCTTGGAAATAAAGTTACAATGCCCTCCTGTCTCTTCAGTCTTAAAAACATATTTATTTTCTGAATGCTTCCTTCCACTGACTTTTTCGCTGAAAATTTTGTATATGAGCTGTTGTCAGCATTTTGGCTATAGAGCATACTAGTACTCATGACATGTAGCAAAAGCCACAAGCAGCATGCTGCCTTGTGGTCACTCCCCCAAAGACAGGACACCTACGTTTTTGTATATGGTCCAAGGACTTTGCAAAGCATTTTCTCTAATTAGTATTTCTTGTAAAATATATAAACAGTCCTCAGCATAGGAATTAAAAACCTGTGTGAGAATCCAAACCACAAAGCTATAAAGACTCGTGATGTTCTCTTTTTAGTGTACCGAGATTGCATACAGCCACAGCTTCAGAAAACAGAGCAGCCACTGAAACCCAGAATGGCTCCCTGCTAGGAGGTGGGAAATCAGTTTTTCTATGTGCCTCAAGAAAGACAGAGAACTGCAAACAGGCCTTTGGTATTTTGTGTTGGTATTCTGGTCACTGAGATGGTGATACAACAGTAATATCAGCAGTAAATTCCCTCTCTGGGTTATAAAGGAAAGCACTGAGAGCAGCATCACACATCTTGTAGAGGGCAATGCCATCTGCCTGTGTGACACATCCTTTGAAAATACCTGCTGGATTAAGCACTTTCAAGATCACTGCTTTTGAATTCTTCTGCATATAGATTGCTTCGGTAATTTCCAAAGATCTACAGTTTTCTGTGGTGAAAATACAGTTTCATATGTGAAATTTCCACTGATTTTAATATACTTTCTAACTGAAAATGAAAGAATTTCTAGTTAATTAAGGAGTCTAATTACGATTTGGGTAGACAAAGGTGACATTGCAGTAGTTTGCAGGAGATCTCCCACCCAACTATTTTATAAAGCTTAGGACAGACTGTAGATACTGAAAATTGCATGGATTGTAAGCCTACGTGACCAAGAAAGCCAGATGTGAATCCTCAGAACACTGACACATTAGCTCAGGAAATGCCAAAGGATAAAGGTTTATAAAAGTTGCATTTGTGAAACAGTCAGCTGTAACTTACGAATATTCCTTTTTTTGTAATAAAAACACTTCTATCAAGGGAATAGAACAGATCTAGTATGCTACGTATGCTACATATGAGTCATGTCTTATCTAACAAGTAGAGAAATGTAGGAAGCACAGTTTAGTTTTTTTAAAAAAAAAACAAACAAAAACCCGAAAACCCCCTAACCACAAACCAAAAATCCAAAACAACACCCCCCTAACTTAATGAGTTAACTAAAAAATTGGAAAGATGATTCAGTTATAGAGCTAAGTAAAACTGTGTTCCCAATGGGGAAAGACTGAACTTTCTCCATTATCAAAGATTATCAATAGCTGAAGATACAATTACATGAAATAGCACTGTAGTTCAACTGGCAAGACATTCAACATGGGTGTGACTTAATGAGTGCCAGACACAAAACAATCAGTAGTCCTGTTAAGCTGCTTCTGTCTCTGGAGAACCTGATTACAGACAGTGCCCAAAGTACCAAATTAACCTCACTTTTTTACAGTGGAATAATTTTGCTAATTTTGACTACCTTATACTGGATTTACAGTGACATATGGTAGTGCAGAATAAGTTCAATTACTCAGCATCAGGAAGTATGTTTAGAGTATTCTTACTCAACCTTTGGATTTCAAACAATTGACTAATTGATAGGAAGTGACTGACACTCCAAGACATTACACTGGCCTACGCCAAGAACAGGCGAGGAGAGAAAATTCTGAACTGTTGGTGGAAGAAGCAGAAAACATGATATAATTTGGTTTGGTAAGACTTCCAAGTAAAGATGGAGAATCCCATGCTTCCCCATTTAGGTAGCAACTGCTCATACATAAAGGTTCATGCCAGAGCCATTTGCTCTTTTCTCCCACCCCCCAATATTTATATATATGCTAACATTATAGGAAAAATACAGGTCTATGTTAAGAAAACAGACTTTTTGTAAGATCCACTACTGTCTCTATTTTATCTGGATTTTAGATACCCCAGTAATTGTTTATATTGGTTTATATAACAATAATAACAACAAAACACAGAGAACCTTGAAAATTAAACAGTAATTAAAAATCACTCCTTTTATGTTTATCATTATTTTTCTTTTTTTTTTTTTTCCCCTTTTTTGGATTCTCATGTAAATCCAGTTCCAGGTGAGTTTTATTGTTCTTTTTACTATAAATTATTCTCTTCTTCTATCCTCCTCCTGAGAGAGCCAAATGAATTTTACAATGCCATAAGCCTCTCAGTGACACTTTAGAGCCACATGAAGAGCAGAGTGTCTGGTTTCGAGGAATTCTCTTTTTTTACACTTAATTTTGGTCAAAATTGAAGCAGGACAACAAAGGAAATTGTAGTTTCCAAAACTGCAGATCTAAGAGGAACCAACTTTCTCATGAGCTAACATGGCACTGAGTTTCACTGAGCAGTTTTAGAAGCTTCCATTTGCCTCTACTTCATGGAAAATCCAAAAATGCTATTTTCCCTTTTCTGCCTGTATTCCTAGGGGCTCTGCCACAGGGCTGGGGTGCATGAAGCTGACAGGCTTCTACAGTATGTATTCAGTCAAAGGCATGCCTTCTTTTCAGGAACTGCTTTTATTCCCAAGAAGTTATAAACAAAGTATTTTGAATAAAGACGATAAAGAAAAACTTCCTAGGTATTACATGACCGCCTTTAATAATCATGCTTATATATCAATTACTTCACATGTTGCCAGTTCACTAAGGGCAAAAAATTGGACCCCAAATCTGGCAATGAGAAGTATGGGAGATAAGAAAGAAGACTATCAACTGTAGATCCAACAAACTGTGAATGAGGCAAGGAATTTCAGGGATGTAAAACTTGGTTTCCTGATTAAAGTATGTCCCAGCAAAACTCAATTCTGCCATCTGCCTTAGCCCCAGCATTACCATGAAAGTCTAGAAAAATTACTTTACCCAAGATTTCAAGGGAGGTCCAATAGTTTTACCTTCCTCATTGTCCCTGTACTACTCATTTAAGACATTATCAATAGAACAGAGCTGTCAGAGCTACCACCAAAGTTAGGAAGATCTGGGCTTTGAAGATAGAACATGCCACAGAATGCTCTAAACATTCTGAACTAAAGCATCGCAAAGTGGGCATCCAATATTGATGTGCCCTAATGTCACTTTGATTCAATTCCCTATCCGTAAAGTGAGGATAACAAAAGCCACCATCTTGTAATTGACAGATGAAAAGAAATTAATTGCCTGTGGAGTACTTTGATACTGGAGTGCTGAATATCACAGAGAAACTCATGAGGAAAATAATAATTCTGTCTTCAGCACAAGGCTGAATAGTGTGCAGGAATGGAGGCCTAGAACTGCACAAGGTGCAAGAGGAAAGCAAAGCAATGAACAGTTGTTGAGAGTGAGAGCACTGAGCAGGGAAGATTACACGTGCCTATTCCCAAACTGTAATGCAGATGCCCAGCATGGCCAAACTAATACTGTCTATAAGATCTTCATGTTGATGTTGGGTCACTTTTCTAGTTCTTGATTTTCCTACATTTTAATGCAATTTCCTGTACATAAGTTATATACATATTCCAACGCTAAGTAACACAGAACTCTTTTATTTCCTGTCTAGATTAAATATAATGTCTTTATAGGAGATCCTCTTTGAAAGTTATGTTTTAAAAGTCATTGAAGTGCAATGAATGAACTAGCTCTGGTCCTATATTGCTTGAACTATCTGTGTCCAGATTTTGGAAAGGAAAAGGAAGTAATAAATTTTTCTTAAACTCACCACACGTTTTAATTGCACAGAACTCCCAGGGGGTGTTAGGGTCAAGAGTGTAGCACCATGGTCTCAGCTTGCCATCAGGATTGCGGCAGTAATTATCATCAAAGCCCTTGTCAGGATATCTGCAAACCACAACGAGAAACGTGTCAGGGAAGTCTTCCTGGCAACACTGCACAGGCTTGTACAAGGTACTTACAAGACAATCTTCAGCAGAGGCAAACAAGAACCGGTTACCATTAACCTTGGATCTGATCCTGAGAGATGAATGCAGATGCTCTTTTAACACTATTAGAAAGTTAGTAACATAAAATCTCTTTCCAAATACGCAGCAGAATCAGACCTCCACTGAGGGGATTCCCTGCTGTGCTAATGCACAGGAATCCGGATGGGATAACTGCTAATTGCTAAACTCTTGCTCTTCTGTCTGTCAACTGATGACCAGACTCTAAAGCCACTCAGTTTTTTAAAACAGCCCAATTAAGTGTGGATTATATAAACACTGCCTGACATGCCGGACTCATTAAGAAAACAGGTTCTTCAGTGCAACAGCCCTGGGTTCAAATTGGAAACTATTTTCAAAAGCTGTGTTACTAATGATAGCTCCACTTTTGTAATAGAGCTCGTTCTAGGTCATGCCCTCATTTCAAACATTGGGGTAAAATGAAAAATAAGGAATTAACTTCCGTCTTGCTTTATCTCATTAAGATTTTAAACCATTGTGCCATTTAATTGTTTCCACGTTCCTACTGCCATCATTGAACTATCAGGCAGATATTCAAGATAAGGAGGTTGGTTTTTTTTTTTTTATAAATGTGCTGTATTAACACCTATAAACTTAAAGAGAAGGAGATAAATGCGTAGGGTTTTTTCTCTGGTAAATACAAATTGCCTTGGTTTTCCAGTTTTATTGAAACATGTTTGTAAAAGAAACAAAAACTAGATTTTCCCCTGAGGGAAACATGAAAAGTATGTAAGAGAACAATAAAGTTAACTACCTGGGAACCTGAACCCATTTACAACTGCAAGCAGATGTGTTTCGCACAATCAGAGGAAAATAAGATTTACAAGACTGCATTTTTGCTAGGTTCCTTTTCTGTCAAAAAATTATCCTAATATTGACTCATGTATTTGTAACTTGATCTCCCATTCCTTGATTCCTTCATCATCATACAAGGGGCAGGGACGGGATTTAAGTAGAATTTAAAAAAAAAAAAAAAACAAACCCAAAACCACAAATTAAAAAAAACCCACCAAAACCATCAAGGAGAAACCTCACAAAAATGAGAATTCAAGGAGAGTCAAGAATGTGGTAGCTTCAGATCTAGCAGCAATACCCTGTTTTCTGCTAGGTAGGAGACAAACTGTAAAGGAACAAACTGTGTCCAAGGATTTCACAAGAAAAAGGTTAATGGGCTAATAATATGGCAGAAATGAAATTACTTTGGCCACCCAGTAGGTGCAGTGATGAGCTCTGATGTTGGCAGCAAATGCACCATGTCATGTAGCAATGGAGAGTCCATGGCACTACCTAGGAACAAAGGTGAGTTCAGGAATGGCAAGGTATCTGCAGTCATAGCTCTCCAAAAACATTCAAAACAACGGGGGATGTAAAGAATCCACTCTCTAGAAGGAAAATGTCTTTCATAGCAATGGATGCTCTGTCCTTCCTAATATTATATGATATGCTCCCACAGTATGTCAAAAATATGTTATTCACTAACTAGAACTTAAGTAGAGATGTAACAGTTCTTCCAGGATCAAGGTTTGAGTGCCTTTCTGGGATGGAATAGTGTCCACAAACTGTTTCTTTCCACCTACTATATATATGTGCCCTTTTCTAGAACAACAACAGCCTTCCCAGACACTGGTTCTTCAGGCATGCTTCTGCTTTCCTTCATATCCAGCAAGCAACAGTTCCTCAGTTCCTATGGAAAAGGCCAACTAACCTTTAAGACACAAGTATTAGGGATAAGTTAAACAACAGGGCTCCAAACTGCTCCACACAATTCAACAGTGAAACTGTGGAGGATTCACTGAGAGCTCATGCCCTTGCTCTGCACACTCCTTCTTCCCAAGTGCACTTGGGCACAGACCTCTTGCTTAGACCCAGTGAAGAGCCCGAGGCTTCCAAGAGCTTTCAGAAGCCTACATCTTTCCTTTTTTTCCCCTTGAAACTGCAGTAGCTGTACTTCACTGCTGAAACGGAAATGAAGCATTAAGATACACATCTGGTGTCAAAATCAAGAATTTTTCTCAGTTTCTAGGTGGGAAAAAAGAGTGTTAGACAAAGAGATAACATTTATTCTCTTTAAAGAGACAGATGCTGATCTCTAGCTCTGCTGGAACTAAACTGAAACTTAGTGTCTAAAACGTCACCAATATTTCTTTTCCCCTTCTTTCTTTTAAAAGACATGCAGGACTGTAAACTTGATTTTGTATACATTTTTCATACAAGGGTTATAAACCAGAGTATTTTAATAACAGAATACCTGCAGTTATTCAGCTCAGACTACACTTCATCCCTACTTTTCTCTATGCAATAAATACCTAGTTTTGCAGCATATTTGATTTTGAGCAGCAAATATGAGCAGAATTGGAGAAAACTGCTGCTTCTCTGTGCTGCTCTATACCTATCTGTCATTATCCTCAATGGTCTTTCTTCCATACTGAGGCATAATCCTGCCCATGAGGAGTACACAAGAGAACTGGAGCTTCAGAATACAATTTTGCATCTGCTAATAGCCAAAAATGGGTCATGCAGGAGCTGTTTGGGGGGATTCCTACTGCTAGCCTCAATCACATCTAAGTAAACAGGTATTACAAATTCTCTTCAATAACAGACATCTGCATGTAAGAAATTCATTGAGGTGACAAAAAGGAGACATGAGATGTATCTACCCTGAGCTGAAAGCATTGTCCAACGGCAGGTAGACTGAAGTGTTTGAAAAGATCAGTAGTTTCACCTCTCTTTCTTCATCATTGCAGCTGATGAATCCATAAATGAAAATAAGTTTAAATCTGTCCAGCTAGTCCTTCCTGGTTTCCAGGTTATTCACATTACTCCTGGGTGATACAGTATAAGCCTCTCTAGAGATTGCTATATTTTAATGGATGATTTGTTCCAGACCTCCTCTCTTATTTTCAACTTAAATAAACAACAACAGCAAAAAACCAAACCAAAGACCACAACATATTTAAAAGCTAGTATAATCGACGTATAATTGGCACTAGCTTTAGTGACTATTCCATGAAGGTAGTTAACATCAGTGTATTAGAAATGTACTGGACCTCAGTTACTCTTCTGAAAGAACGTACAGATCAGTTCAATCTGGATGGGTCGCTTTTTGGTAAAAAAGCATTTTTATTACTGTCTGAAAACTCTCAAGAGGACATTATCTGAAGAAAATCTTTCAAGGAGGAAGGTGATCACTTGTGAGATTGCAGTTAGTCTGAAAAGTCATTTTGCAAACAATCCAGAATTAACGGAAAAAAGAAATTTCCTCATGACAGTAAAATTATTATTGTTTGTACCCAGAAGTTCTATAAAAGTTTCACTGCCGAGGAAGAAAATACTTTCTGTGACTTATTCTAGAATGCACAGCAAGTGCATGGCAAAACTCAGAAACAGATTATCTTCAGTCCCAGTCTGCTAATACAAAATCTTTATTGTAGCAGAACTGTGGGAGAGCCTGCTATTATTCATGAAGCAGATCATCTGAGCCAAGAGGAAAAAGAGGTTATATCACATTAACTCCAAAACTGCAAATCCTTAATGTTTTGCTGAATAATCATGCTTTCTAAAATCTATCAGCACCCATATTTCTGAGTATAAAAATGATGCTTTATTTAGTGGAACACTTCAGCATATATAAAGATACTTTCAGTGGAAGGCCTCAATCATTCTCAGTTTGTTGATTCTTGCAGCCTTCCTCTGGCAGTTTAAGTTTATTCAGTCCACTTTATAAATGGAGTTAATCCAAAATCCAGAGTAAAACTAAAATGAAACTTTAGTCTGGTTTAAGAGAAACACAAAGACCCTCCTGTGTGGCCTAAACCCCCACACAAAATCCTTCCAAAAGGGTGTATTATAGATGACCCCTTGCAGTCAAATTAATTTTATCCTCTAGGACAAACCCTAATGGGGATGCAATTTGTTTTGCTGTTTCTGACTCATCTTTTGGCATTATGTATCTATGCCTACATTAAAAGAAAAAAGAAAAAAGTCTAAAATGTAAATTCATGTGCATGACGTGCTAAACAGAATGGTGAACTCCTTTCCCAGGCTGGAGTGGGCAAACATTTTGGTAAAAAAAAATTAGATACATATACCTGATTACAACAGACCATCTACAGCTTTAAAGCTGTTCAGTATTTCAAAAAAGGAGAACATTCTGACTTGATAATGTTGCAAGTTGATATCCACTAATTGTGTTAAGAACTCTAACAAAAATCTATGACTTTTAATCATTATTTACTTTGTGATTAAGGTATATTAAGCTGACTGAAGCTGCATAACAACATATGCAGAAACATTCAGAGTTTACTTTTTTACTTTCAATTAAACTATGAAGGAAATTTTAATCAATTAATGCAGCACATGTACATCACTGCACTACACAGCCATGGGATGTAGCCACAACTTCACAAAACAGCCTCTAGTCCCCATCCTGCATCTCCATCATAACAGTAGCCAGCCTGCACACACCATGGGCCAGAAACCCAAGCAACTAAAACTGGTAAACTCCATAAATTTCAGTTCAGCTAATGCTGCTTTTGCCCATCTCCTTGCAGAACATGTAATTTTCAAGTTATAGCCACATGGTTTTGCCTGGAGGGGAGGAGAGGTTACCTCTCTGGACGAAATTTGTGCTTGTGTGGTCTCTGAAGATCCCAGCGCTGACACTCTTTGCCTGACTCAGTGTGATCCATTGGCCCTCTGTAACTCTCTCCATTACAGGTCATGCATTCAACTAGGAAAAAAAAAAAAAAAAAAGGTACTGGTCATTTATTATGTCAATGACTTATAGCACAAAAAAAAATTAAAATAATTAAATCATCTGTCTGCTTTTATAAATTGAAACCAACCTAAAGAGGTATCAGAGAGTGATATATTTTAGTTAGGTTAGTATGGGAAATGTCTTTTGGAACAGAATTGCATCAGATGCTTACATTTGGTATCACTTCATAGGACACTTACGGTTTCAGAGGCAGGTAGGCGTAAGCTGCTAGAGACATTCATGTTTCTGGCAGATTTTTAACTTTACTTATGGTTAGTGACAGAGAGAGACACATATCTAAGGAAGGAGCATTTTTTAGAGGTGAATTTTCTAATTAAGTAGCATTCATTATTCTAAATCACTCTAAGTCATAGTATAATTACAGCACAAGTTTAAGTACAGAATAATGGCTGAATCACAATTTCAATGCAGTACAGTCTGTCTCTTTAAATTCCCAGCACTTTCTGTTACATATGAGGCTGTTTCTTTTCGATACTGATTCTTTTTGGCAGCTTAAACTATGATACTGCCCTGGTTTGGGAAAGTAGGGGGTGGAGGGAGAGTGGGCAAAAGCTACCAAAGGGATTTGAAATCACTGTTAAACAAAATATGCTTCATAATTTAGAACGAGAAGTCTTAAAATAAAAAATAAATTCACCGTAATTAACTATAGACACATTTGTCAAGTGCCCCCTAATTAGAGTAATTGTAAGGAAGGATCACTTAGTAAATACTAATTTATGCAATTACAGACCTCACTCTTCAGTCAAAACATCCACTACTAAAGTCTTCACCCTGCAGTGAGCTCTAGGTCTTATCCCATTTGAAGCTCACTTAAACTGATCTTTAAATGTTAGCTTTTAATAGATTTTCAAGCTCCTCGTAAATCATTCTCTTCCTCCCTCTCTTCCTCCTTCCTTCTCTCCCTTTTCTTCCCCCACCACTGCATAGCTATTGTAGATGACACATTAGCAGAAAAATTAAAGGCATCCTATCTTGAGAATTTAAATGAGTTGATTGACTGGAACTGAATTGGCTGATTAGCCAGATATAAAAGCTTAGTTTGGAGGTTAACAGAACTTACAAGTCAAGAAATGTAATGGTACACATGAAGTGTCTTTCAAATTCTGTGACTTGAAAGTTGAATGGGACTGGATTTATAAAAAGTTTTGTGTATTTACGGTATTTATTTGAAAAACAAAATGCATGCTTATACTGTTCTTTCATCCTGTAATTCAATATCTATATTTTCATCAAAAAGAAGAAGAAAAGTTGATTTTACCATGGAATGGCACTAGATTTTTTTATCACATACTAATACTGAAATTGTTAATGGATTCACTGTGGACTAAACAAGTAAAAAGGGTCACATTTGTGCAGAACTTCATTGTTCCGGCTCCTCCATGACCTGAAAAAAAGCTGCTGAGCCTGAAAGCTTGTTCAAGTTTTCCAAAGTACTGGATCATAACAAGATCTCCTCTTTCTCTAACAACTGCTTTTCTTGCTACATGAGTTATTCTTGCTGAGAAATCACCTATTCTTTCTCCAAAGTCCATGACCAAATGTCACTGAAACTATGGTTTCATTGTACCTGTTCTATGTACCTGCTGCCAGCAGAGAAAAGGCAACGCTCTGCGTGAGCCGTGCTGGGTTACCTTGTGAACAGAGTGGGATGTCGCAGACTTCATGGCGCATCTCCGGGCTGGTGGTGAAACACCATGGCCCTCCTTCTTCCCCTCGGGGGTTTCGACAGTAGTTTTCCCGCAGGTCCTTACCCCGATAGCTCGAAGGCAAAAAGCTAGTTTTAAAATGACAATCATTACAGTATAAGAGCATGCAAACTTTGGTGTTAATCATACTATTTTTTACAAACAGTTAGAAACAATCACATTTCTGCTTCCTTCGCCCTCCACCCTGCCTACACAAATGCACACACCCAAATATCTATCCATACACAAATTCACATCTTCAGTCAGGATTACTCAACCAATGGCCTAAATCTGGGACAATTTGTCTAGCCCATAGCTTGCTCTAGCGAGTTTTACTCCCATCCCTTGGGCATCTGGAGCCAACTATCTGCTGCAGAGCCAGAGGCAGCAGCACACTCCCTGCCAGCCCTCGCTGAGCTCTACTTCACAAGCTCATAACTTGTGGAAGACCCTTGGACAAAGGTGAAAAATGTATTAGGTGCACAGGCGAAAAATTTGTTAGGTCCATAGCCATGTCAGACCTGCCTTTCTTATGCATGTTATGCACATATAGCAGGCCCAGCTGGGCTTAGTGTTCACCTACTACATAAAGTCCACAAGAAGAGAAACCTCTTCCCATCCCCAGTCAGACAGCAGCTAGAACTGAGCGTCAGGACCGTGTGAGCGTGACCGAACGCTGTGACACACCATGCTGAGAGGTTTTCACTGCCCAAAACCACAGGCTGCTTTGCATTTCATCTCCAGAAATTTCCCCAGATGCCACTTTAGCTGTCTTGCTTCATGTTCTGCCACAAGCCCCACTGTTGTCACCTTAGGGTCTGCTACTTATAGGCCCACTCATCATTGCTATTGTACAAATTAGGTCATTTAACAGTGACCTAGCTGACTTAAACTATGCTCTCCCTTTCATTATATTTTCTGCTTTTGCTGTAAGGGGCTATTAAATAACAATACCCCTTAAGATTTTTCCCTTAGATTAGGGGTTCTCAGGCCAATGCTAAGCACTTTGTTTTTCTTTAGTGATTTAATAAAAATGTGAGCCAATACTATATTTTTTGCTTAACACACATTTTCAGTATAAGATTTTGCTGCTTATGCTTAGTCCATCAAATATAAACTCTCCAGGGTCAAGGTTTTGTGTTCTTAGCTGTCTGTAAAATTATGTGCTTACCTCTAGAGAAACCCCCACATACACACTGACATACAGAGATATATGTAGGTATATATATATATTTATACATTAAAGTAATACTGGTTATTTTTCCACACACAATCAGTAACCCCATAGTAAGGAGCCCAGCACCAGAGCTGGCTCTGTTCAATGCCACTGCAAGAGCTCATGACCACACTCAGGCTGCCCGTTGCAGACAAACCCAGTTGCACTTCACTACCAGTTTCATTGTGATGGTGCTTAAACAGCAGCTAAATTTCTGTAGTTTAAAAACACATTACGTTTAGAGTTATGCTCAGTTCCATGAAGATTGTTTTTTATTTTTTGTTAATTGAAAAGTTGGGCAGAACACATAGGGGATCCCACAAAACTTGTAATCCAACTTAATAAATTGTTTTAGTTTTTGAGCTCTCTAAGATTTTTTCCAGTTTTTTTTTCTTCAGTATATTTAAATTTTACTAGAATATCACAAGTAAAGTGCCCCTTCATTCTGAAAATGCCCAATCTTTATTTTGGGTGTTTGTTTGTTTGTGGTTTTTTGGTTGGGTTTTTGTTTTGGTTTGCTTTGTTGTGGGGTTTTTTAATCACCAAATGTTATCTATATTCTAGAGTGGAAAAAAAAGTAATAAAATTTAATCTAACTTATTTTAGAAGACTGGAGACACTTGCAGCTTAGGAAACTAAACTAAGCACTTGGGACAGTCTTTATACACCGACACTGATTTAATTTATATATAAAAGCAGAAGAGAAATGTATGATTCTTGCTGTCCTTGTTAAATTCTATGTTACAAATGAATAAATTAAACATTTAAAAGAGAGAGAGAGAGAGAAACAAAAAGAAAATTATGACATGTGACATTTTAATCATGTTTATTCCCATTAATGCAATCTTTGAACCTACTGAAGTGGAAAATACCTCTGTTAATTATATTGTGGTTCTAGTCAAGGCAATGTGGAAGCATTATCTAAAAGTGCTTTGCTTATTTTTGGTGCTTGAAGAGAATAATTTTGATGTTATTACTGCCACCTATAAAATTGTTGGTTTTGTTTTTCCTCTGTTGTCTTGTAATATAAATCTCTCAAATTTTTTTAGCTAAAGACAGACCTGGGCAAACTTTTCTGATGGGACATTACAACCTATGTATGCGTTAATGCAGTATGTCAGTGCATATTAGAAAATTTTATTTAATTTTCCTGCTGGAAAATCTTTCTGCTCAGAAATTATGGACATTAGAAAATATAGGGAAAAGGCATTTCAAATTACATCAGACACTGTCAGAAAAAAAAAAAATCTAAACAAATAGCATTAGAGACTCACAATGGGTCAGATATACAAATGGCTTCAACAGGTACTGAAGCAGGACTCTTGAGGGAGGAAAAGATGAGATGCAGTAAAGACCCACCCAGAAGTGGAAGGCAGGCCACTCCTAAAACTGTGTGCTGATTTAGTTCAGCTATATTAGGTAAGGAAAAAAAGAAGAAAGCCAAAAACTGAAGCCAGTAAGAGTAATGGTAAAAACAGATTCAACCCCAGCAAAAGTCACGGAAACTAGCAAAAAACTTGTGAAGTACTTGTCTAGTCTTTGACCATTTATCTTTGAACCCTTTTTGCATTGGCTTTATCCATTTAGATAAAAACCTCTTAAGAGCAAAAATAAAAAAGATTGTCTTGTAGTCTGTGCTAGAATGGAGACAAAAATAATGGAACCCTGATTTCAGCTGGGAGTCTCCAGGTTCTACTGGAATACAAATAAATAAAAATGTAATTTGTTAAATCCAAGCACAAGTTTAAAGTCTGAAGTATTTCAATTCCTTCTAGAAAGATAATGAAAAATCACTAAAGTACATTTCTGCCTTGAATATGAAAAAGGGATTTATTTTCCAATGGCACTTAGTGATAATCAGATGTTGAGAAAACTGACCTAAAAATCTAAGCTTTTCATACTAATAAGTTCCAAACACGCCACTACTGTCCACTTCTTCCCATTTCCCTCATGTCTCTGATGATGAAATCATATTTTCTGATGTTGAAAAACAAAATTAGCATGCAGCCACCTCATTTATCCAGTGACCTTTTAAAAATTAAACTTATTGCACAAGGCAGGAGAAAAGTCATTCTCATAAAATACATCATAGAAGAGTGGCTGTCCAAATGTATTAGATAAAGCTGTGTATGCTGTATATTGAAATGAAATTTAGTGATGATATATACTGTCCAGACACTTTTATTTCTTTAATTATCTAAAGTCATATGTATATTATATGGAATAAATGCTCATTCTTGCTTAGGCTGCAATTATTGAGAATTCTTTCATTTCTAAAAGAAGATAAAGATTGTATATTTCAAGGTGTTTAGTCTCAAGAGGTCATTGCTGTGGGAGCTGATGGTATTTATCATATGTTCACTATTAAAAGCAGGTCTGGTTCCACACTGAAAATCAGACATGTTACCATCTATATTATAAGCAGCCAAATCCAGTCAAGTCCAAGCCTGAGGCTCAGCTTTGTAACACATCATAAGAGGAGTGAACCCAAGTATCCTTTGCTTTTTAATGTTGTTCCAAGATATCATCTTGCACACTGGATAGATTTGGTCAGGACAGGACTGACACAGCCCAGTTCCTTACTAGCAATCTCCAGACTGGCTCCTCCTAAACAAAGTGCTGATGCTGGGAGTCCAGAGCAAAAGGCAGCAATGTGGATAGGAAGCTGTATGGGTGAGAGGACATTTTGGCTTTGGCTCTTAAGGGTTTATTATCTAAATGGCTAAAGCCAATAGAAAAAGGTTAAAAGAGTCAAAGAGTGGACCGGTACTTCATAGTCCTTTTGCTGGTTTCCAGAAATGCTTGTTGTGGTTGAATCTGTTTTTACCATGACTCTTACTGGCTTCAGTTTTTGGCTTTCTTCTTTTTTTCCTTAGTCAATATAGTCGAAATAAGTCTATTCTCAAAGTGTAGATATTCCTCAGTTCCTCAATATATCAGGTCTTAAACTCAAAAGTTGTCCTATACCTGCTGCATCAGTCTTTAGTTATTGCTTGTATGATCTGAAGGAAAGGATTTCAATAATCTGTTCAGTCCTTTCCCTGCATTTGTTGCCTGGTCTAAGTGCTTTATAGAGTTCAACATATTCTACACATAATAGAGAATTAGTAGGCACTAACAGAGAATTAGTACAGTAACAATAATTATATACTGATCAAATTGGGGGGCTAATATCTGTAATATCCTTCACTTCTTAACAATGGGGTTTTTTTAATTACCCATTTCCTGGGAGTCCATAAGAAAACAGTGAAAAACTTCCAGACCCCAGGCTGAAGTCACACAGATGTTTTGTTTCTGCCAGTAGCTAAGAGATCAAAAGGATATAAACAGCTAGAAAAAACTGACAGAGGAAAGGAAGGGATCCAGACACACAGGCTGGCATTAGGAGAGACCTCTTTGGAGAATACTCAAGAAGGTAAGGATTTTCTGGGAGCTGGAGAATGGCATCTCCTGGGGAAAGGCAAGAATACACCTAAGAGATTTTGTTGCCTAAAGTCAGTTTTCTCATAAATTCTTTGTCTGCTAATAAGTCAAGTTGTGCTTTATGGAAGCTGTCTGAGCACTACTGCCATTGTCTCTGCTCCTGAACTCTTACCTGTGCTCATGGGGGATCATTGAATTCCAGGCTTGACACTGGATACCACTTTTGGTAACAGATATCGTTCCTTTGTAGTCTGCTCCTTTTCCGATGATACAATTCCTGACATAGTCTATTGAAAAAAAAAAAGAGAAGAAAATTAGGGGTTCAGTTAATGTATTTAAAATTAGAGCTCATCATCAGTTTTCACATAAAAATAATATATTTTTGATAGCCTTTAAATACTTAATTATTCAAAATACTGTTTAATTGTCCACATACATTCTTGTTGCTTTTTTTTTTTTTTTCAAAATACTGATCACTGACTTCCCAAAGAAAGCTACTGAAAATGTTTATGAAGTGTCTGATTGACCAAAAGTCCATGTCTGAGGACCTAAGTCCCCTACTCATTAATGAGGTAAATAAAAGTAGTATTAAGTCAATAACAGTAACTCATGCAACTGAGCTTTTAAGTAGTAAACTGAAGGAGCAATTCAGACTAGTATATAGGATGGTAAGAAAACATGTAGGTCGGAAAATTGAGCAAAAGCAAGTATGTAGACACCTTGCATGATAGCAAAACCAGGATATTTGTAAATAAAACTGTAGGACACAGCTTTCAGAATACATAAAACCATCCCATGCCCAGAATGCTCCTATAGCCAAAAAGTCACTGACTGACCTCAGCTTTTTTCACCCTCCATAGCTGGAAAAACAAAATCAGTAAATAAATCAGTTACCCTTCTTTTCATACAGATCAAACGCATGGTCTTGCTTCTTTCTCACACCATTTGTCAAGCTGTTGAAGGATAACCAATGGCATCGTTTTGTAACTCTGTCATAAGCAAAGGCCCTGCAAAGAAAATCTGGATGAGAAAAAAATCTCTGTGTGGTTTATAATGACACATGGCCTGCCAAGGAGCATGCAATGACATCAGATTTATTTTTACTGGGAAAGTCAGAGAAACAGCCCAAATTACTATTTAAACCCACAACTGTGCTGACAAGAACAAAGAAACAAAGAAAATAAATTGATGTGGCCATTACATTAAATACCAGCTTGGTTGTTCACACTAATCTAAGAGTTCCCTTGTCATTTAAGATCTTTATTTTAGAAGTGAGATAAATGTGACTGAGACAGCATTTGTGTCTCCAGTTGTGCTGCTTTCTGATGAATAAAAAGGAAGACTCTAAAACATCTTCTTTTCTCTGCTTACAATATGCCCCTGAAATAGTTAAGTATCTCACACTGATGGTTTGAGGAAAATTCAAGCACAAGGAGTCTGCTTCTTGCCTAGAACAACAGAGCTGTTTAAAAGCAAGATTATTTTTGTTTTTATGAATAATCTAAACTGTGATAGTGTACCTACAGCTTGCCCTTGCTTTGCTTTTGTTTTCTTTTTTTCTCTTATTTTTAACTGCTTTCAAGGATAGAGTACAATGTGTACTGAACTCAGTGGATTTTTGGGGGCAATACAGACAAACACAAATCAGAAAAGAAAAAGTACCTTCTTTCAATATTTTAAATGAAATGTGCAGACCTTTTTCTCCTAAAATCATTTTGAAAGGAAATCCCTTAAGTGTAGGTAAAAGATTTTAAAGGATTTTAAAAACATAGTTGACTGCCTGGGTGGGGGTAACCGTTGTTCCAATAAGAGGAAAAAAAAAAAAAAAGAAACCAAAAAAACCTGAACCAACAAAAAACCCACTGAAATTTCTTTTTTCCCTTAATTTCTCATTAGAACCGAATAACAAATTGCTGACATGATACTATTGTCTCTAGCCCACCACAAAGTCTACATTTCTCTCAGTTATCGCAGACCTTCTGGGATATTTTATTCTGACCTGAGAAGGCATTTTAACACTGCTAGATAATATCCAAAAGACACACAGATTTCCTACACTTCATCCATACTTTGGCTGTTCAATATTCCTACATCCCCCAACTCAAAGCTCTTTGATCTTCATTTAATTCCCCTCTCACCATACAAGTTTTTATGTGTGAGATCTTGTTGGCTTCAGTTAAAAATATTACAAGATCCTATCCAACCTCCCCACTCTTCTTTTTTTCAAACATCCTCTTCATTATCATTTCCATCACCAAACAGATTTCTCATCCAACTGCTCTCTCTAGTCTGTTGACTCCAAATGTTTCCAACCTGCTAACCTTCATCCTTCTGCCCTTGTTCAGCCTTCTGTTCTCTCCTGGCTAGTTCTCAAATACAAGCATATCCAAGTGACTCTAACTTCATCTTCACAAAAATATCCTTGACCTTTCCTGCCTTTCCAATTACATTTGCCTTTCCCCTCCTCCCTCCTAAAGTGGGAATGCAGAATGCACTGTTTACAAACATTTCTTTCAGTTTTTGCCTTTCAGTTGCCTTTTGGTTTCTTTCCAGTTTGGCTTCAGTCACTTCTGCACATAAAAGTTTCTAACAATCTTTTCTTGGACCCAAATCTGGAGAGGTCTTACTCTTCCAAAGTCAACATATTTAAGCAAATTCTTGGACTTTCTTCTACTGATACTGCCGATCACAACATTTTTTTTATTGTTGCTATTTGTACTGAGATAGTGGGTAGTTTTTCTGATCAGATACTGGAATCTTGTCCTCCATAGTGGAATCTCTTTTTATGTAAATACAAAGACACTCTAGAAATTAAGCTATAACAAAGGATAAGACAGACATGGCTTTGTAGGTAAGGAAGTGATATGTCTGCAAAAGTCATCTGCATAGCCAATAAAATAGTAACTGCATTATATTTTTGTCATCCATAAGAAATGTAGTGCAAAAAGCTGCAAGGATAACTTCAGAAAAACAGCA